ATCTGACATTCTATGAGGTCCTCACATAAAGGAATATGGTGGTAAGAGATGGAAGTCAGGTGGAGGACAGTGTACTTCCTGACAGCCCTTGCTTCCGTGGATCTTCCATAAATGGAACTCGATCCAGAATGTGGGTCTGTTACATAACGCCTTTAACAGTTGTCACTCTGCGACCAGGAGGGAGCTGTAGAATATTTCACAGAGCGGTGTACCTGTCCATCACTACAGGTACTGGACCTAACGAACACCCTCAAAACCCTTGCTGAGCAGCTGTCTTCTGAACACTCCCAAGTTTGCTTTCAGTGTTAGTGATCTTGAATAGACCGCTTTCCTTTTGTTTTACTCCACCAGGTTTGGTACTCTATGCTTGAAGTATAGGAAAGGAAATGTGCAAACTACTTCAAGCGTTTCTTAAGACCTGTGTATGACTAAATAAACAAGTAAAAATGGCTGTTAAGCTCTGGGAGCGTTTTTTTTAAGCAGACTTTATTTTTAGTTTACAGAAAAACTGTGCAGGGAGCACAGAGTTCCTGTATACCACCGCCCCCCGCACAAACACACACAGTTTCTCCTACTGTTAACATCTTGCATTCCTGTAGTACATTTGTTACAACTGATGAACCAATATTGATACATCAGTATTAACTGAAGTCCATAGTTTACAAGGTTCATTCTTTGTGTTGTAGAGTCTTACGGGTTTTGAGAAATGCATGACATCAAAATGTGTTCACCATTTCAGTATCATTCCAAATAGTTTCACTGGAATTAGGACCATAGTCTCATGGGACTTCTCAGTCAACTGGAGTAATATAGTTATACAGTACACAGTATACAGTATATGGTATATAGTATATAGTAATACAGTTCATCAAGTTTATATTCTACATCCTACTTTGGTGAGTAGTGTCTGGGGTCTTAAAAGCCTGCAAGTAGCCATCTAAGATATAGCTATTAGTCTCTCCTTGTCTGGAGGAAGACAGAAAGAAGGAAACCAAAGACTGAAAGAAGAAACTAGTCTACAGTACTAACAGTTGACACGAACCACAGCCTCAGCTACTCAGAGACCAGAAGAAACAGATTGTGCCCGGCTACCACTACCAACTGTTCTGATCAGAGCCAAACAGATGGACCCTGATAGAATAGGAGAAAATGTAACAAGCCTCAAATTCCTACAAAAAAAAAAACAGACTTACTGTACCAGTTGAGACTGAAGGACTCCCCAAGACTGTT